CCAAAGCATCGGCTAGTCAGGCATTTACATACTTTTACCACTCCTTTTGCCTAGCACGGATTTTTATTCGTATTTCTTTTTGACTTTTCTGCCACTTACAGGTCCATAGAGACTTTACGTGTCGAAACGCCTGAGGAGTTCTATGCCCTCAAAGAGGCGCAAAAACTGAACGGCCCCGATGACAGCCAACTCAATGCAGCACACGGAACAACAGTGACTACGACACGGCAAGGTGGCAGCGGTGGTGGTGGTGGTGTCGGTGGCGTTAGTGCAGTGATTGGCATAGAGCATAAGCTACAGCTGAGGAGACTCAAGTTCAAGCGAGAAATTCACGCTCTGGCACTCGAGGGCGGGGATGTGGCGCGCGGCTACTGCTCCTGCGATGAACAGTGGACCAACTTGCCCTCGCCCGCATCCACGACCACATCGGCGACTATGTCGCCAACGTTGACGGCTGGAAGTGCCAATGCGAAAGCCAGTGGCGGTGGCAATGCCAACGTCAACGACAATGGCAATGGAAACGGCAGCGGAAACGGAAACGGAAACGGGATTGTGAAAATGGCGACACTAAAAAAACGCGGCTCGGGTGCAAACGCTGCCGGCGTACGCCTGAAGCAGCAGCATCATGTGCGCTTCTCCGACGAGAAAAACTTCTCGGATTAGGCCGAAAAGTACTCGTAAACTACTAGACTGCACCTAAGCTCTGTTTAGATTTAAGACAACATTTTCATAGTTTAAGCAACGGTTGAGAGTTACGAAATAAGCAAAACGTAAAAATGGAAAATGGAAAAATGGAAGAAAAACAAAAACTATATCAAATCATTGTTAAGCGAACCATAAGATTGCAGTAGAAAATGTAGTTAAATGATGTCAGTTGATAAGTTACTGTAAATATATATAGTCGAATAGCGGGCGATGTTAGTCAATGTTTAGTTTAGTTAACAATTAGATCCGTTGTGAATTTAATGAATATAAATACATGTATTTGAATATAACAATATAGCGTATCTGTCAAGCTACATTCGTATAAAATCGGAATATTTTATCGTTAAGTGTAGCACACAATTTTTTCTACCATTCAGCAAGAGTAATTAGCTAATATATATGATATATGCAAATTTGGAAGGCACATTGACTAAATCGACATTTATCAGTGTACATAAAGCAAAAAAAATAATAATAATAATGAAAACTTAAACTAAAATGTGGTATTATTTACTTCAAGTAAAAAAACAAAAATGGATAAACGTAAAATGAATATTAAAAAATTCAAAATGCAGACAATTCAAGTATTAAACAAAAGCTCAGCGCAAACTGCATTCAATTCATGTAATAATAAAATTGTAATAAATCAAAGCAAATGAATAGTTCATTATTTAATGAGAAAACAAAAACTGACTCATTCAAACGCATAAAAAAATATATGTTTTAGCATTTTCGAGTTGTGTTTAATTGATTTATGTTTCGCTCTAAAATGAGCTTCAATAGCAGGCAATCAATTCTGCTGGCTCTACATAATTTATATATTTTTCCCTTGGTAATTAATTTATAATTACTAAAAAAAAAAG